GAGAGGGTGAGCAAATGGATTTGGGCTGAGGAGATGTGTCCTCAATCCTTACAAATGCAGCCACGTTCATGCATGTAAGCGCGCACACGCCCACATACAATCACCCACCTCCATGTCCTCCCACCCCCCAGCGGGGAAGTGCCATTGTGCAGTTTGAGCTGCAGCGTGAATTTAATTGAAATGGTGAGTTCAGTGCTCGGTAACACCAGCTGCCGAGGAGAGATGATCGTATGGTGACTGTGGGATCGTCTGCAGTGGAGAGGAGAAAAAGATGTGTGTGTGTGGGGGGGAGTGGGGGGTGTCACTCAGATTATCAGACAATAATTAAAAAGCATTAGATATCAAGAGACGGAGCCAAGAAAGACATAAAAGCCGCATGTTTTAGAACAGAACATGCTCCATTAAACGAGTCTTTTGAGATCAATAATTTAACTTGGAACAATTGATATCTTGCAGAAAACGACCCCAGTTCGGAGAAACGGTTCAGTTCTGACTCCAACGAAGAACAAAGCAGATTTATGAGGCTAAAAAGATGAAAAGTTACTTTAGATCATGGAAAGGCTCTTTCATAAACCTGCATTGGTCTGGGTTTGTTACGTTTATACAACTAATATTACAATTATAATAATTAATGCAAGCGAGATCTTCGTTTTGTTCCCAAAATATTTTTGTTTTTAAAAGACTCAAAAGTGGCCCCCAAGCATGACCCTGGTGGTCCACAGTCCTGCAGGTTCCCAGCTTCAGCACACCTGACTGAAATGAGTGAGGTTTTGACAGATTTTTGTTAAACTTGATGACACTCTGAGTGGGTAATTCAAAAATAGGAACCAGGTGCGTTGGACCAAAGAAACAGTTAAAACATGGAGGACAGCGCCACGAGGACCAGGGTTGGGGACCTCTTCACAGCCTCTCTCGCCAGCTTGAAGCTCGGACGTACAAACTGTGCAGCTAAAGCTGAAAAACGAAGTCGGGGTTAAACTGATCCCAACATTAATCTGTTTAGATTTGTTTTGCCTCCACAATTGTGTTGCAAGCACTGATTACTATTCTACAAAGTATTCTTTGAACATTCCCTTCATGTTTTAGTTGTTGAGGTCAATCAGATTTTATACATTTGGTGTTCGTATTTAATGAGCAGTACATACAGGGACGATTATCATGTTTTCAGAGGACGTATAAAATCACATTTTAAATTGATGACTCTGTCATCCTGTCCCTTCTCAGCTGTGATGACTCAGACCCCAGGCCCGCGGTCATTAACGTTGAAGCTGCTGAGGTGGCACATCAGTATAAATATCTGGGAACTGTTCGAGATGACAAACTGACCTTTGACCCCCATGTGAACTCACTTTGTAAGAAGGTCCACCAGAGAATGTATTTTTATCAGACGCTCTGGTTTAATGTTGATCCGACTTTTATGAGAATGTTTTATTGAGTCCGTTTTAACTTTTACCTTCATCTGTTGGTTTGGACCTTTGACATGAAAACAGGAACAAACTCTCAGGGATTGTCAGGATGTGCAGCAAAACTGCTCGCATAGTCCTGCAGAACCTCACTGACCTACAGAACCTCACTGTCCTACAGAA